CTTGAGAGGAAATCAGTGCACAATAAATATTCACTGACACAAACTGTTCATGCATTAAGAGCTTTTGAGCACTTAAAATCTCAGGCACAAGAACTAGTTGAGCCCAGGAATTTAGGACCAGGCTGGCAACAGAGCAAGACCCTGTCTCAAAGGAAATCACACTAACCAACACACACCACACTGCCAGGAACAGAAAGTCACAGTGCACGCGGAGCCCTATGGCAGGTTGTGAGGCAGAGGGCACCCTAAATGTCCACCTGCAGAAGACTAGCTCAATAAAGTAAGCATGTCCACATCAGTACTTAGATACTGAGCAGCATTTATAAAGAAAAAGGTAAAATTGCATGGGGTAATGTGAAAAGATCTCCAAGGCATAGTAAGTGCAAAGGGCAAGAACAAAGTCAAGTAAATAAGAATACCTATGCTGTGCACATATATTTTCTGAACATTTGTGCTAGATTTCTAAACAATGGCTACCTACAGGGAAGAAAACAAGCAACTTGGACTTGCATATTTTAAGCTCTTCACTGTGGGGTTTTGTATCACTGTGTTCGTTGGTTTTCCATTACTATAACAAAATAGTTAAGATGCTCCACTTTTAAACAAGGACAGTTTTACCTGGCTCAGAGTCTCGGGGAATCCAGTCCACAAGCGATTAAACCTTTTGCTTTGGGCTTGTGGCAGAGCAACACATCGTTGTGGGAAATGGATGATGGCGCCATCTGCTCACCTCACTTGGCTGGGAAGCAGAGAGGAGGCACCAACATCTCAATGTCCCCTTCAAGGGCACGACCCCAGCAGGACTGGAGGACGTCCAACTAGGCCCCATCTCTTACAGGCTCTGCCATCTCCAAGAGTGCCCCGGGCTGGGGGACCACGCCCAGGCCTCTGCGAGACACCTACCCATGCCACAGCAGCAAGCACCTTTACTACTTTTACTTAGAATTTGACAAGAGTCTTGCATTACAGAATGCTCTCTGGTGTGGTGCTAGACTTTTCCTCTCTGGCCTTGCTAGAGGCCAGGAGAAAGGCAGTGAGGTAAAAAGATGGTTAGCACCACGAAGTAAGTAGAGCTGTTTTACTGCCAAATCCGCTGGTTTGCCTACTAGAAAAGAAAGGGTGGGAGTCCACTGTGGCAGCAATTTCCAACCAGTCTTATGTGTAAATAAGAGAGCTAATGCTGACGGAGAGGTTACGTGTGTGAAGCACTTGACGAAGCCCTTTCCATTACTGTCTCATTTAGTCTACCTAGGAGGAAGCCCTATGACTATCCTCATTTTACCAAAGGGAAAATGGATACATGGAACATTAAGTAACTTGCCAAAGGACACATGGCCCAACAGCTGAGGGCTTGTGGCAAAATCTAGGGCTTGTGACACAGAGCCTGTCTGCTCCTTAGGGTCCACAGCAGACAGCATCAAGGGCTGGGCAAGGGAGGCCAGGCAAAGGAACTTATTAGCACTGCTCTCAGAACAGTATCTGACATTTAACAAAAATTGCACTTTGCTGTCTCTCCACTTGCATGAGTCAATACAATATACCGCTGTTGGTTCCAAGAAATTATGAGCCAGCTCATAGGGTAGAGAAATTAAACCACTAAAAGATCAAAGGCTGAACACTACATATTCAAATCGATAAAAGGTACAGAGGATTAACTTGAGACATAAGACTCTAAAATAACCAACTAGCATTCACAAAAAGACAGTCTTATTTAAGACAGCTGATATTTTCTGAAAAATATTTACCTCCTTATTCCTAAACATCAGCAACTTACACTGAAGTACTAATGGGTTATTTGTTACACCCAGGATATTCTTGGGATGTTCAGGAAAGAGTACAGGATCTGAAAGTCAAATGGAGCTGGGTTTGGTTCCTGATCCAGCAACAGCTATACAGCCTTGAAACAGTTACAAAATGCTCTTGATCTCAGCATTCCCATCCAAAAAGTCAGTAAAAGGAACAGCTAGTCTTGTTGCATGATGAATTAATTGAGAAAAAGAACCTACTCAGCCTATATATAATCTGTGACACAAACACTGAGTATAGTCTTTCTCTAAAGTCTTTCTCCAAATAAAATTGTTGATTAAATCATCAGCCTTTTCCTTCCCATCCTACACTCTTTTGTTGTGTCTCTCCAAAAATGTAAACAGACATTGTGTATTTGGGAACTCATGCTCCTCAGATTGAGTCAGATAAGAACACTTCAGGGACAGGGATACAGCTCAACGGCACAGCACCTGCCTGGCAAGCACAAGGTCCTGAGTTTGATTCTCGGTACACAAAACAAACAAACAAACAAAAAAATAAATGCAATAGATAAGAACAATTCACTATCTACTAACCAAGAAGGGTTTGCACTTGCTCTACTGAAGTGGTGGTGATTTTAGGTAGATTCAAATGAACAAGAAACTCCTCATGCACACTTGACTACCTTCCCCTCCTCACCGTACTACTGGTCCTTCCTCACATATCCTCATCCAGCCCAGAGGCCACCTAGCTACATTCATTTCCTACTGATAATTAGCAGTAGCCAAACGTTATACTCCTAGGTTCACAATCAGCTACTTGAGGAGCACATAAATACCGTCCCATGTATGTATACAATTTGGACCACGCTATTGGTGTGCCCTTGCTTTTCCAGAGACAACCACACCAGAAACTGCAGACCTAAAATTCATGATTCCTTGACTTCTAGGCACTCTGTACTGGGGGCTTTCATCACATCAAAGCTATGCTATTCCAAATAAAATAATAATCAACTTCTTATCTTTTGTTTTTAAACCTAATATTTAAAATGCCCTTGTGATAACATAATACATCTAAATTTTAAGAGTTTATACATATAACTGACCAAAGTAATAATTTGACTAAGTTAGTACATCTTACTATGCCACTTCTGTCTCATTAAAGAACACTCTAGAGAATAATCAAGCTACAGTAGCCTTCAGAAAAAAAATTTAGACGACGTACAAATGACCAAGCAAGAAAAATAAACCCAACATCATTAATCTCAAAAATGCAAACAAAACCACAGTGAGATTACATGTCATTCCAGTTAGAATGGCTATTACTGAAAAGATCAAAAATAAATGCTACTAAAGATATGGAGATAAGAGACCCTTTACATATTGAATATAAGTTAGTATAGCCATTATGGAAACCAGTATGGAACAGCCTTAGAAAACTAGAAACAGAACAACCATATATTTAGCAATTCCACTACTGACTGGATACCCAAAGGAAAGCAAAATGTGTTAAAGGTGTGACTACACTTCCATGCTTATCTCTACTTAGAAAACAGCAAGGGTATGGAATCAACCTAGTTGTGCAGGGACATACGACTGGATATAGAAAATGTGCTTTACATATGCAACAGACTATTATCCAGCCACAACAAGACACACCCCTGTCACTGGTGGCATCATGGGTAACATGAAGGCTCTGTGAAGTAATTCAGGCTCACAAGATACGTGCCTTAGGCTGTCATGTTTGTGAAAACCAAAGGAGCTGATCCTACAGAGTAGAGCACAGACAGTGACAACAGAGACTGGGGAGGAGATTGAGGTAGGGAGAGGCTAGGGGCGTCCACGAAAGAGGGATACAGCTAGAGAGGAGGATCACTACTAAAGTTCGGATCCAGAGTAGAGTAAATAACCATATTAGACAAAATTAATTACATATTTCAGAATAGTAGAGAGGATTTCAAATATTCCTGACCAAGAAATGATAACTGTTGTAGTGATGGGTATGCCAATTACTCTGGTCAGATCACTACACATTTTATACATGTAACAAACACCAAATACCATACACATATAATTATTATGTTAATTAAAATTTTAAAAAATTAAAAATCAACTTAGATAAATATCCATTTATGAAAAACCAGTTCAATAAAGTAAAATAGGGCTGGGGATTTAGCTCAGTGGCAAAGCGCCTGCCTGGCAAGCGCAAGGTCGTGAGTTCGGCTCCCGGTACCGGAGAAAAACCAAAAAAAAAAAAAAAAATAATAATAATAATAATAATAAAGTAAAATATAAAATAAATAAATAAGGGAAATGCAACTTTCTCCCCACATTTGTTTTTGACCTATTGATCCCATGTGTGGGATCTCAGCCTATATTATAGTTTTACATGTGTGAAATGATATATGCTCACATTATTAAATACAGCAGTGTTCTGATAGATAAAAAAATCAAAATAACCCAAGTGTTTTTCTAGGAGGAACTAGTTAAATAAATTATGATATACTCAAACAAAGAAATCATACAAAGAATGGAAGAGGTGCTCTGTTACTGAACTGGAAAGACCTCCTAAGAGACTAGGTTAAACAAAAAGAGCAAGAAGCCAAGCAGTGTGTACTGTACAAGCAGGCAAGACATAAAAACACATACATGTGCACACATTTTCTATTTACCTAAAGAAACTTCAGAAAAGTAATCAAAAACCACCAGTTGTTCATAACATAGCTTATAATATTAAGGTGAAAATTTGGCAAATGGCAAACAGGTAAATGAAGATTACTTATTAAAAATAATAATTATTACTCTATTTCTACTATCATAAAAATACTTTGCCTTATGAACTATGTGAATATATCTATATAAATGTATTTTCTACTAAAATACATTAAAAACTAGCACGTGAAAAGAATGTGTTTTATTCCTTCAAATGAAAACAGCACTACCTACAAGGTCATATTTTGCCATTACCCATGATTCTTCTTCCTCTGTTAGAATATCACATATGTCCATATTAAAAAACAAAGCATACTTATTTAAATTAATAGACTAAAAGAGAAAACTTTTGGAGGAAGATAAATCATTTTAAAGAGCTCCACAACCCTATTCCACGTATTTTATTATTTTACCCATAGCAAGGAGCCCTGTAATCCCATTATTGGTTTAGATCCCCACAGTCCTCGACACATTCTGCCTGGAAGGGTGGGTTCCCTAGGCTGCCCAGGAGACACACGTTCTCCTGTGGCCAGAGCACCTTACCTTCATAGGTGCCGACTTCCAGAAGAGTCCCACTCTGCTCGAGGTCCAAGAATTCCTTCACAGTCAGAAAATTGTAATCCACACCAGGCACTTCTCCTTCTCTGGGAGATCGGGTTGTGCCTATAGCACAAAAGACAAAGCCATCAGTCCACCAGAACAGGAAGTTCCACATCCAGGTGCAATTAACCTAACCTGCTCAGTAAGCCAACTTATCTGCCACTTACCTGTCCAGACAGAGACCTGGGAGAGGCAACTTCCTACTAGCAGAATAGCATCCTCAAGTGCCCCTGCAGTCAGGAACCCAGACAGGTTCACCACTTCTTAAAAATGTACTGAATCAAATAGGTGAATTGGATATTACACAGACAAGATTTTCTACTAGCAGCTTTTAGTACTCAAGTAAATACTACAATCATCTACCCTAAGCTCAGAGTTTAAGGAATTTGTATTTTTATCACAGGCCTTAAAATCCTTGTGCTTCTCACTGCATCTGGCAAGTTCCAATGTAATAAGCCCTTTGAAGAATATGACACCCACTGCATAAACATATCACTAGAGAAACAGGACTGCCTGAGTTCTGTGGATGCACATCTCCCTGGGGTTAAAATGCTGCTGGCTCTCCACGGGATATGCTCGGTAAACAGGCCACCCATGAGTTTTGTCTACAGAGAAAGGACACTGCATTTGGTAGAAAAATTATCTCCTTGAATTAATGTGGTCATATTCTCAATGCCTAATAAATGTAACAGTTTCTCTTAAGAAATAATACAGAACTAAGTTCAGCCAGCCAAGGTTCTGGGCTGCAGATCTATCATTTTAACCCAGCCTCAAGCAAAAGTATGGCACAATGTGCAAAATGTTACTTAGACATAAAGCAAGTAAAGAAGCTAAGGTGCAATTATACCGCATGTACTAGCACCTATATTAAATGCTAAGCAATTATACCATGCGTACTAGCACCGGAAGATCAAAACAAAGCAAAAATTGTGATTTCTGCTTCTACACACATCAGGTGATACGACCAGCACTTAGTTTGCAAAGCATCATTATATCAATGATAGTGGTTTAAGGTTTTCCTTTCTAGTAAGTATGGATTTTTCCCTATTCCAATGATGCTTTTTCTTTTAACTTTACAGCCACTAAGTAACTGCTGTACGTGCCTAGCAGCTTCCACATTCCTAGCACTGTGCACTCTCACCCTCTGCCTATAGGAATGACCACGTGCACACACCTGCCTCAGACAGCCACAGTTGCCCTCAGTCAAAAACCTCAGACCTGTTGCACACTTTTCTCAGGCTTAAGTGTACTGAACTTTGAAAATATCTGTAATCTGAATGTTTTAAATACCTGCAAACTGTTCACACAATGGTTGTACTGCAATGTCTGCTTCTTATGCTCAGCATACGGGGGGCTTTCTACAGGCAAAGAAATTTGCTTCTGTTTGTTTCCACAGATCTACTCTTATACTCTCTTCTTATTTGTTCTCACTTCTGGCACTGTGGTGGGTAATAGATCATTCACAACACCTACGGCTCCTTCTCAAGTGTCAGGCACACTGTGACTTAGTTCTCAAGGAAATTAGAAGGAGTTTCATATGATGTTGAAGAGCAAGGGTCTGAGTGAGGACAGGCTCACTGTCTGGATCCTCAAACTGTGGTCTCAGACATGCTCCTTAGTTTCTGTTACTTCTCAGCGTTTCCACAGTGAAACACAGCTAATACCCGCACTTACACCATAGGTGTTCGCTGTGTGTACTGAATAAGACAATTCCTTAGAGGGATTAGTTCAGTAATTGTCAGTAGATACCACAGTTTATATTCTTGTTAGAATGAAGTGAGTTGACTGACTTTCACAGTTCAAATCCCACTATAATAATCTGATACTATACACATATATGTGTACATGCATATATGTGTATGTGCCATTGTATGTTTCATTTATTTAATAAATATGTTCAAAGGTCCCTAAACAAGCCAAACACTGAGAAAACACTGCTAAATAAGACAAAATCCTTACTTTAATGAAGTTTATATGTTACTGAGAGAAAATAACGTGTGGATAAAAACAGCACATAATTTCATATAGAAATAATTCTGTGGGTTAAAATGTTAGATGGCATCTTGAAGCAATGTAGGCTAAAGGGCTAGAGACCTTTCAGGGGGAATCTAGCTCAGCAGCAGGGAAGGAAGGAATTTTAGGTAGGTGAGAGAAGAAAGCAAGCCTGGCTCATGCAAAGCGATGGAAAGCATCCCAGGACAATGGGACGGCTGAACGCACTCTCATCCTCAGCCCCTGGGAATCCGCAGAGCAAGCAGAGGAAGGGTCAACGCTGGGTGCTGTGCAGCTCCATGATGGAAATGAGGCTGGAAATGAAAGCAAAGGCACAGGATGCAGGCCACAGAAGATACTTCAGATTTTATTCTAGGGATAATAGGAAATCATGACAAGCTTTTGAGTAAGGTGGTGCCTAAATACAGTATTCATTTTAAAAAAGATCTCTGGCATTACAGAAAGCAGGCCATGGGCACAGTAGCGGGAGGTGGGCAATTACAGAAGCAAGGAGACTAGTTAGATGGCTGTCATAGTGTCCAGGAGAGAGAACTTGGTGTGGATGAGAATAATACGATACAAGTGGTAAGGAAGTGGTCGCTTTTGTATTATAACTCATGAATATATTAAATAACTGTAACATTATCCATAGGATAATTATTAAAAATACTATGTCAACTGATATCAAACTAGCTATATATTTTGAAGACATAAGTGACAGAATTTGCAAATGGATAAGATATAGAATGCATGGAATAAGAGTAAAGACTGCCTTCTTATTTCATCTGGGCAAATGGGTGTACCATTTATAAATATTGAGAAAATTGGGGAAAATGGTTTTGTAGGGGAGGAAATCCAGAGATCAAGAGTTCACTCTGGAGATGTGTTAAGGCTGAGATTATTTAGGATAGAGTTGAAGGACAAGTGACCTTGTAAGTCTAAAGGTCAGAGTTAAGGTTGGAACAGAAATTTAGGAGTGATCAGTTACCAGCGAACCAAGGGCATTTGAAGGCAGAGAAACTAAAGAGAAGGGGTAGAAGAAAGAGGCATGAAGTTTGCAATGGACACCAAGACTTCCCAATTTTCAGAAGCCAGGAGTAGGACAAAACCTTAAAGGAAGACCAAGAAGCAGCACCCAGTCAGGCAGAGGCAAAGTGTGTGTGCATGTGTGTGTGCATACACACGTGTGTGGTCTTAGAGCCAAGTGTGAAAGCTACTCAGCTGGCCACCTGTGAAGCACACCTAGGTCTACATCATGCTGGGACTGCCAGGGCGGTGCAAGAATGGAACTTCTCTGAAATGTGCGGTGAGAGGATCTTCCTAAACATGCTCTGCATGGCAACTCTCCTACTCAGCTTCTACGCTTCTCCCACTAAAATGAGGATAAAATAAAACCAAAGGAAAGATCTGTGGGCCTTTGAAGTCTTCCTGGGCCAGACGTTGTTAGTTCCCCCCTTCTTCTGCAGACATCTTTACCGTTTCTTTTCAACCATGTTTGCCCATCCCACTTGACAGACTTCCTTTAAAGACAACAACCATCCCAGGTTCTTAATTTCCTGAAAGGATTTTATATAATCAAGAACCTCAAAAATGCTACATTTTAGAGGAAACATGAAACTAGCAGAGCCATCATTCCCATGTAAATAAATATGCTTTGCATGGCCTCTAAGCTGCAGGGAAAGGGGTGAGTAGGCGGGTGAGTGTCCACCCACAAGCCTCCAGGGTTTATCACCCAGACAAAACCATTTCACGCAGCAGGGAGGAGGGGTTTGCTCCGGTTATTCTCGGAGCAGCCTGAGCTGGGCCTGTGCCAATGTACCGGCTCCATTCAGCAATGCTGGGCGGGAGGACTGAAGGAGGGGCCCTGCCTCCTCTTTTCTTATAGCAGAATGACAGGCTGCCGGCTGGACACACGCCTGACAGATGGCATTTCAAAGGGTTTTCAGGAGCCATCTGGGGTGGGCACAATTATTACAAACCACACTTCTAACAAAGCCAGAAGGGTTACTTCCTAACAAAAGAGACGTAAAACAAATTCTATCATGTTTCTCAGGGACAGCACATTAAAAAAAGAAAGAAAAAAAGAAGGTACCAGGCTGACAGACGGATGGGTTTTTTGCAGCCTACAATACTGTCTTCTGTTTGTGTAGCTGGAAATTAGGTCAACAATATCTTGCAGTTATTAGCTTTAAGCGAAGTAATATAGCATTTCCCTTCTCCCAAAAGAGAAAAAGAAGGAGCACAAAACACTGCGAAAAGAACAATAGCTTCTATGTCTTGGACATTTATTTATGTCCTAGGCAAGGTGTTAAGCACTTAATATTATTGGGTTTAATCTTCACAAGAGAACAGAAGTAAAAGCTAGTATTATATTCACCTCATTGACAAGGATGCTGAGACTCAGAATGGGAAAGTAACCTTCCCAAGATCACCTGACCGGTTGCACAGAGCCCTGACCTCAATGTAGAAGGTGTGACATCATCCCCCACTGGCAGCCGTTCTGTCCAGTGCAACTCTGCACGCTGACGGGCTACCTATCTTGGCAGCCCAAGTCCCGTGGGACTGTTGAAAGAGGCTCTTGAGACTGAGGGACTGAGTGCATTTACTTTCTTGAAGTTTATACAGCTCCATGCACCTAATGGCAACCATGTCGTCCAGCACAGCTCCCCCCCACGGGGGAGTCCGGGCTTCCCGTGTCACTGCGTTCAGCACGGGGCCTCTGCAGATTAAAAGGAACACATTAAACAGCAAGGCATCCTGAACTTCCGTGAGAAAACTTTCCATATGAAAATGTCTGAAACAGTCTGAAAAATGATCTGGTCTACCCATTTTGTCCTAAAATTTCTATTTGGTCTTACTGGCTGTGGTCTCTTGAAAAACAATTTAAGATATTTGTGGTGATGTGGTTTGTAACAAACAAAGTAAAATAAAACAAGTTCAAAACAAAAGAAGCCCTACCAACAGTTTTGAAAAACCTCTGTGAATGGAATGATTCGATGAAGTGAAGATCGCTTTAGCTGTACAGCAGCGAATGATAAAGAATGGAGAGATCTGTGCGCGTGCCAGAAAGA